TGGTCTTGCTTTCCTCAGAGAGAGGAAGCAGCATGTGCAAAGTAGCAGGTGGCTTACGCTGGGTCAGTCAGGAAGTCTTGAGCTGGGTATTTTTAATAGTGAAATATTTTAATTCCGGGCTACAAGGAAGTCCTGTCTTCCCTACAAAGTAAAAATCATTCATGGCTAGATTTTTTGAGCTAAAATGTGCTGCGTGTACCAGCTTTCCAGAGAGGTCACATTTCAGCATGAAGAATACATCCTTCAGTGAAATATTCTGTTTTTTGTAACGGAAGCACAGAAAGTCCCCGACCACAGCATTTTACAGAGAGATTCATAGCAGAAAGTAGGACAGACAAACGGTGGGAAAAGAAAATATTGGCTCCGTTCCACAGAGCGGGGACCAAGGCATAGAAACCAATTGCCCGATGTAGTAGAGAAAGGCCATCACTCATACGAGTACTTCTGATCGCAATCCGGTGCCTTCACCATAAGGCAACAGCTGCTATCAGCAAATCAGTGATGGCTGGTGAATAAGAATAGGTTACTGCAGGTTTAGTTTGTTTGATATCTGAAATGTGGAAAGAAATTGAGGACAAGGGGAAGGCTGTGATTTTTTTGATCAATTGAAGTAAAGCGCTTTCCAGGGGGTTTTAAACCAGTCTCAGCTGATTCCCGGCAGAGAAGGTGGTCACATCGCGAAAAAGTTCACACCGATGACCAAAATGTGGCACGAGGTGGCAGCCCGCGCTGGTGATCTCTGCAAAGTGGCCAGGGAGTGAATGAGCATCAGAGGCTCACACATTCCCTGGCTAGCCGAGCCGGTCCCTCAAGCTAAGCCACGGTGCCAGAGCGGTGCGGGGAGTTGCACACTAGACACTTCTGGCCTTACAGAATTACACATTCACCTCCCTGCAGGTAACCAGAGAGCTCTGATGTCTGAACAACCTCAAACCAGGTCACTGCAACAGGTGGGGGAAGAGCGAGAGTACTGTGGATATTCATTCAAATCAAGAAGTGGATTTTGTTTTTACCACAAATATGCAAACCTCTCATGTTCGGTCTCACCCACAAGTTAGCGGATGATCTCTGCAACCCAAGTGCTCGTGCAAACCTGCTGTCCCAAAGAATGCACAGCGACTCACGAAAAGCAATCATTGTAACCGAATGGTACGTTTGGCTGGAATATCTAAATTCCGGTTGAAACAGTATGGTGGTTAGCTGCGTCCACCTACGGACCAGGAAGCCGAAATAATGGTACATAACGAACCCTGACGGCTGGAGCTTTGAGATTTGAATACCAAATATTCAGCCAGGATACTTCATGACCTACAAATTGGAGAGGAAGAGAGGACTTTTCACTAAGAAATTTATGAATGGCTATAAATGACAAATTGGGGATTTCAGAACCTGCTCGTAAACAAAAAGAAGGGAAACCGAATGGATGGGTTTTTGTATCTAGTTCAAATATTCACACAGAAAGATTAAGAATAGGTGCGTTTAAGAGGTAATTTTTTATCCAATCAAATACTTAAAACATTAAAATGTTGGAAGGGGCCTCAGGAGATCATCTAGTCCAACCCCCTGCTCAAAGAAGACCAGCCCCAACTACATCATCCCAGCCAAGGCTTTGTCAAGCCGGGCCTTAAAAACCTCCAAGGACAGAGATCCCACCACTTCTCGGGGTAACCTGTTCCAGGGCTTCACCATCCTCCTAGTGAGAAAGTTTTTCCTAATATCCAACCTCAACTTCCCTTAGTTACTGGTATCCTATATTGTTGAAGTGGAATATGAAATTAGTAAAATTAAATTACCTTAATAGTCTACCCTGTACCTAACAAAACTAGAACAGAGTAGGCCATTTAGAGTTAGAGGCAGCATAGGAGCGTAACACCAAAGGAGATGGTTAAAGTAATATCCCCATTTACATATATATTTCTTTATAGGTTCTCGTGTTGCATTTTTACAGCCCCATTGTTGCCTTTCCACAAGTTGCAGCATTGTGCTGTCAGCTCGGGAAGCCCCAGGTACGCTTCCTTTAAATTCAGTGCAGTTCCTGCTAACCTCCCTTTTCAATTTTGACTCCCGATACCATCTCTTATTAACCAGACTCTTGGAAGAAGGCCGCCTCATTCTACTGAAGTGAAGCTTGCTTTGTTATAATGACACGAGAGCAGATTACACTGAGAAAAGGGGTTTCAAGAGGGAAGAGAGGACCATTGGCAGAGAAATCACGGGCAGGTAAAAGGGACACAGCAAGCTGCTTCATTTACTGAGCCAATAGACCTAAAACCACGTCCAGGACATCATGTTTTGGTGACATCATGATAGCTCTGAGGCCAAAGTCCTTTCTTTGTCCTTCCTCAGGCCACCCTGTCAATACTTCACGTCCCTTGCACCGCTCCCTCACCTCGGGTGGGGGAGAGATTAATGAGAAGTCGACGGAAGTCTTTTCACTCGCTGCAATACTTTTTGGATCATGCCTTAAATCTTTATGCCCTTTCACTTTGCTGTTTACCTGTCATTTGGTGCCCATGTTAGTTAGAAAATTCCCTCCCAAAGGAATGGGCTGCCCACTCTCTCGTGTTGAAATACCTTAGAAAGTCTCCACCTACTTGGACTTGGGCCAACAACCAGGAGGTCAAAGTCTGGTATCTCATTATCCTGATCCACCCACTTCCCCTCTCTGGGGAATTTTGGGGTTAAAAAAAGCTCATGAACTATTCGCAGGCACTCTCATACTTGCTTTTCTTGCGGCCGACAATGCACGAGCAGAATTCTTGCCCTTTCTGTTGTTGCTTCCCTTGGCACTCTCCCTTTTCATTAAAAATTGCTCAGGGCTCAGTGAGCTGAACATACCGGGCCTTCATACTGTTGCGATAAGTCATTCGTGCCTGGCATTTCAGCAATGAATGAAGGCCTATCACTTCATTTGGGGGAGGGTGCAGGGATGGTTTTTTCTTTGCTTAATATCAGTGGGAATCCCAGGACAAAGGAGAAGTTCCACCGGTGAGTGCCTTCAGCTCCATAATTTGAATTATATTCTATTTATCTTGATTATTCATATAAACTGGACCCTGAAACAAGGGAAAGATTTCAGGTCCTGACAAAAAAGTCCCTCCTGTTCTCTGCAGTTGATCTGCATCTCCGCTGCATCTATGCATCTCTTTTTGATCCATCTGGTGATCTGCGGTACCACGATGCCACACTCTGCCTGCATCCTGTATTAACACACGGTCTACCCAGGCTTCATTTATCAAGAGCAGCTGCCACATCAGAAGAATCATAGCTGCTGTGATAGGGCTATTTGTTGCTGTCATGCAGCAGTTCGGCTTTTAAATTGTATCTTTTCCAAAAGGGAAATACAAATACAGTCGGTAAAAGCTATCAGAACAGAGTAGGCATCTCCAGACCCTAGTGCATGCCTCCAAAATGTCTATTATGTACATATTTTATTTATTCCAGTGCTCTGACATCTATTCAATCATAAGGTGGCCAAAATTTAAATGCCTATCTCTTTTTTTCCCCTCTGCTACAGTTATCCATCCGTCATATTTTATAATAGAAAAGAGTGTTTTTCGAGAAGAATCACAAAGAACTTGACCTGTATTGTTTCCAGGAACCAAATGCCATCACATGATGCTCTTTGGGTTGCAAAGAAGCAAATCTAACCAACATAATGAGGCTAGCCAGGGTTGAAGGTCAAGATTACCTTCTCCAAAGGAATCAGAACTTCAGGTTGGCGGCCAGCAGTTATATAAATGTAAAGCATAAAGGTCTGGTGCACAAACTAACCCATCCTCCTGTTGAGATACTTGGCAAATCCATGCCTTCTCACACCTATGCATGTCACGCTCTCTCTCAATTCGGGTAAAACATGAGATTCCTGGGTTCCTAGGAAGCATGGGCTGGCAGCAGACTATAGCTCAATTCTGCATCGTGCAAAGCACCGTCATTAGCCATTGAAGTCAATGGCAGGAGAAGCAGCTTTGAATCCTCTCATCCTTGCTGTGGAATATAACACTTTATTCAAGAGGCCCCACCTAAGAAATGCAACGTCTGCCATTTTAAATGGTCGCCTTCATCTGGAGCTGAGGTTGCTAAGCACCTTGTTCTGCCTCAGTTTCCTCATCTATAAATAGTGATAATAATAGGTGATTACCCACCTGACAGGGACATTATGTGAATTTATTTAACTCATGCTTGTAAAGTATAGGGATGCAACGTATAAATGCTAAGTATTGCTAAAAAAGGTAAAACAGAAAATGATCTAAGTGTGCAACTCTGTATGCCCAGTCCTGACTTGGAGCACACAGAACTTACCTGATGGATGCAATCAGACAGGTGACAAGGTTCCTTGGGTGAATCTGATATCTTTTATTAGACTAATAATAATTGGTCTAATAAAAGATATCAGATTCACCCAAGGAACCTTGTCTGCCTATGCCCTTAGACCAACACAGCTACAACCTACATCCCCATCAGACAGGTGAGGCACTCACTTCAGATTGTCCACTTGTGCAAGAGTAAATGGTCTTGGATCACAGATGAAGGCTAATTTTGTTGTGCCTTGCACCTTGAGGAGTCGGTCATTGATGCCTGCCCAAAGCAAACCAACTCGGTGGCAAATTCTCTCACTTCTATAAGAACATCTGGTGCCCACAATTATGCACAGTACAAGGCAGGGGTCAATTCAGTTCACTTTCCAGATCTCAAAACTTTGCTCTAAGGCACAAATCTGCCCCTCCAGAGTCTCACCGTTCAACCAATCCATGCAAGTTAATAAATGCTTCCTTACAGGCTTGCTCCAGATATCTTTCTGGGTGGTTTACAATAAAATGGATTAAAGATCAACTTAGTTAGCTATTAGCTGAACTGTTCTATGCTCTCGACTTGATGGTGATCTGAGAGAGATGGGTTTATGCTGCAGCTTATCTTTTGGAATCAGCTCCTGTGTCTGTCAAGCCACATTTGAATGTACAAGATACCCCACGATATGGTTTGTTAAGTTTTTTGCAAGCTAAATTTTATTGGCCATTATATACAACAGGATCTCTGTGGTCTTTGCAACAGCCACAGCATTTACTTGCAGTACTGCACAAGGATGCACATTTTTTCACGGGAGTTGGCAACAGGGAAGTGCACAGCAAGAAGGGCTGTCCACAAGCTAAACCACAAAGGCGAGGGAGGTAGTTAGAGAAGAGACAATGGGGAGTGTTTCGCATACTGTGCCATATTGCGCGCACTGCCTGGAGCTTGAGAACGTGATAAGATGGAGGGCAGCTTCTCTCTGCTTCTCCTGTACAATTGGCCAAATCTGCAGCTTTGCCTCTGGGGGGAAAATATATACATTAGTCAAAACAAAAATGGCAAGTAGCCCTATAAAATAAGCTCCTGGCAGTATGATTACTCCGTGTCTTTTACAGGTTAGTCATGCTAAAATGCCAGCAATTTCCTGGTGCCCCCTATACACTAATGCCTCCCCAAGAGCTACACCTGAGAGAGCTGTGCCAGTACCAGCAAGAGGGGAGATATTTTGGTCAACAGGCCTAGGGTAGATATTGCCTGAATTTAGCCATTGGCCATGTGTACCTGGCTCCTATTAACTTCAAGGGGAGAAAGGAAGGATGCTTTTGGGCACCAAGGACCTGGCACTCTCCAGAAGGGCTGCCCCTGAGCCCAGCCATTCCTGCGTGCAAGAGCCAAACCCAGAAACGCAGTAATGAAACTGCTCTGGGCGGCACCTCCTGCACTTCTGGCAATGACTGGATTGATTCACGCTTGCAAATCCGTGGAAGGAGTGAACTTCTGAAGGGCAAGCCAGTGTCAGAATGGGAATGAGCCATCAGGACTCATAGTAGCGATGATCTCTTTTATGACACCAACAAGATTTTTGCAAAACAATAAAATAAAATTCTTGAATTGCAAGCTTCATCGGGCATCGGAGGAAAGATTGTAGAAGTTCTCCTGGGGAGGAACGGAAGTTCATATTTCATAGGATTTCACAGAGGAGTCGATAGATGGAAAACTCCATCCATCTGGTCTGGAGCCTCTCGCGTCCTGCGAGGATCTGTGATTATGCAAATTACCTTGAAACAAAGGCAGGAGCAGCGTGCCCAAAATCTTGCAATTAAAGACTTTTTTTGCAAAAATCTTGCTGGTCTAATAAAAGATATCATCCCTATGATGAGTCCCGATTGCTTTTTCCTCTAGACCAATACGGTTACAGCCCGGATACCGGAGAATGGAGCAGAAGCGGCATCTAGCTATAGGTGCAGGGAGGCAAAGGCTGGACGGCTGGCAGGCTGTCTAGAAACAGAGAAGCGTTGCTGAGAGCGTTCCCAAAGAACAGAGTTAGTTTTTCACCAGCCCTCATTACTGTCCACAGCACTCGGGCAGCTTTGAGAGAGACGATCGATGTTCAACGTTGCTAACATGAGCAGCGTACCTGAGAGGGGGACATCAGAGCCCGGAGAACCGGCCAAGGCCTGCACCAAAAAACAGACAGGAAAGGCGTCTTACTCAGTGCATCCGACTGAATTTGGACAAGGTTTCATTACTGCTTCACTGCACACGAGGGCAGCAGAGATTGCAAAATGGAGAGAGGGCTCGTGTGCATTTTAATCCTGCTGCACAGCTGGTTCGACAGGTTCTGCTATGACGCTGCCAAGGGGAGGAGGAGTTTCACTGAGAGGGGATCTCCGTGCCACGGCGTGCTGCTAGGGCCAGCCTCGTCTTGCACGAGAGATGCTGGCGGTCCTTCCTATTAGAAACCAGTGTTTTCAGTCCCTTGATCGAGGCTTCTGTACTTCCAAAGAAGGGTCCAGCTGGGGAGAGGATGAGATTTCGGCACCTACTCCCCTTTTGCGCCTGGTGCTCATGCAGCCTTTTTGTCTGTATGGGATGGTTTAGCTCTGAATAAAGAAAGAGTGCATCTTTCAATGTACGGCCTAAATATACACTGGGCACTATTGACACTCAATACATAAACTCTACGTCTGCATCACACCCAACACCTGCACCGAAGCAACACTACGAAGTGGCCAAGGGAAAGATGCAGAAATTAGGAAATACCAGACCCGAAACTCTCTGTACAACAAGCTCAGCTTCAGTTCTCATGTACGATACAGTCTTTAATGGCGTGATCGCGCTATTTTTTTCTAGAGGATCCATGTCTCGTTCAGGGCCCAGGACTGACTGCGGCCTGGAGCTGTGCGGCGAGGCAAGCGGTTGTCTGCCGGAGCCCCCTCTTCCGCGTTACAGCGGGTGCAAGGCGCGTAGCATCTCCTGTTCCCCTCCCATCCCATTGTGCCCATGTGCCAATTCCTGTAGTGTCCCCTTCTCTGCTTCCCGTTTGTCACCCCTCTGCATCCGAATCAGGTGCTTTCCTTCTCCTGCCAGCTGCCTGGAAACCGGCAGGGGGAGCAGGAAAAACTTAGACCAGGGGCAGGCAATTAGTTTGGGCGGAGGGCCACTTACTGACTTCGGTAAGCCATCGAGGGCTGCATGACAGGCAGCCAGGGGCAGATATATATTAATTTTCTACATTTTTTAGGGGCTCCGTGGGCCGGATAGAATGGCCTGGCAGGCTGCATTTTGCCCACCCTGACTTAGACTGACCACAATAGAGCCTGGAAACAAGGCAAAGCCACTTCCAGGAAATGTCTGCTCAGCCCTTGAACCCGGGCTAAATGTTCAGCGAGGACAGAGGAGCAGTCGGGAGCCAGGGTTTGCTAGCACAGACAATTTTGGGAGGATTCGACTCCTCGGTCACTGCTTCCCCACTCGCCCGTCAAGTCCCCGATCCCAAACAGGGAAACAAAACGTTTGGAAACCTGTTCTGAATATGGGTCAAGCAGCTTACGCTCCTCTCAGTATGATCCAAGAGACCGCTAAACAGTTTAGCTTACCTCCCAGAACTGCGGAGCTAGGGAGGCACCTGCCACAAGGAAAAATGATCCCAAAACAGGTTAGCAGGATTGCAAGCCACTGCCAACAGGGCCTATGATGGGAGGCGTTGCGCAGTCTGCTTCCAAAGGGCAAGAGCAGCCTATCACCAGCTACAAGCAAAAGTAAAATAGCTCAGTGCTCCTGCAAGCCTAGGCGAAGATGTTCAGGCTTTTCACACGGTGCTCTGCGCTCTGGTCTGTGGCAAGGCAGTTTCTCCTCTATTCGGAGAGGCGGCGACTGGAATCGGGTCCACCTTCCACGAAGGGGATTCTTTAAAGCCCGTAGAAATCCGAGCAGAGCCAGCACATTGAATTTGGCCGCGTGAATCCAAGGTGCAGCTATGATCC